GGAGTAGAATTGCTGGACCATATGATAACTCTATATTTAACTTTTTGAGGAAATGCCAAACTGTTTTCCACAGTGGCTACAACATTCTAAAGTCCCACCAGCAATGTTTGGGGGTTTCCATTTCTCCACATCCTTGCCAAGAGTTGTTACTTTTCTTTTCTTTTTTTGTTCTGAGTACAGTATCTTAGCGGGTGTGAAATGTGTCTCATTGTGGTTTTGATTTGCATTTTCCTGATAACTAGTGACGTTGAACATCTTTTAATGTGCTTATTGGCCACTTGTGTATCTTCTTTGGAAAAATGTCTATTTATGTCCTTTGCCTATTTTGTAATTGGCTCACTTATCTTTTTTTTTGTTGAGTTGTAAGGGTTGTGTGCTTGGTTTTGAAAACTGAAATAAAATAGAGCTTATGAATAGAAGATCCTCATTCATAGGGAAGGCAATGTGCATAGTTGCTCTTGCTTAAAAAAAATATTATCAAGTAAATACAACAAAGTGCATAAATCTTAAGCATACAGTTCGATTAGTTTGACAAATGTATATATCCGTGTATCCATTACCCAAATCAAGATATAGAACATTTCCATAAGCCCTGAAATTTCCCCTGGGCTCCTTTCCAATGGGGGTGTGCCTCTTCCCAGAGGCAGCCATTGAGCTGACTTGTGGGTCCATAGATTAATTTTACCTATTCAAGGACTTCAAATAAGTGGAATCATATAGTCTGCATTTGTATTGGTTTTCTATTTGTTGTTGTAACAAATTACTATAAACTTGGTGGCTTAAAACAACACAAATTTATTATCTTACAGATCTGTAGGTCAGAATTCTGACATGGGTCTCACTGGGTTCAAATCAAGGTGTTGGCAGGGCTGTGCTCCTTTTTGGAGGCTCTAGGGTGCCCTGGTGGCACAGTGGTTAAGACCTATGGCTGCTAACCTAAAGGTCAGCAGTTCGAATCCACCAGCCGCTCCTTGGAAACCCTATGGGGCAGTTCTTCCCTGTTCTATAGGGTCACTGTGAGCCAGAATTGACTCTACAGCACAACAGATGTGGAGGTGTGGTGTTTTTTTTTTTTTTTTTAGGGAAAGTTGTTTCTTTACCTTTTCCAACTTGTAGAGGTCTCCCACATTCCTTGACTCGTGGCCCCCTTCTTCTGTCTTTAAAGTCAGCAACATTGCATTTCTCTGGCCCTTCTTTCATAGTCACATCTTTGTCTGACCATAGCTAAGAAAAGTTTTCTACTTTTAAGGACTCATGATTAGATTGGGCCCACCTGGGCAGCCTAGGTGACTCTATTTCAATGCCCTTAACCTTGATCACATCTGAGTCCCTGGGTGGCATAAATAGTTAAGTGCTTGAGGACTAGCAGAAAAATTGGCAGTTCAAACCCATCCAGAGGCACCTCGGAAGACAGGGCTAGCAATCTGCTTCCAAAAGGTCACAGTCTTGAAAACTCTATGGGGCAGTTCTACTCTGCACACATGGGGCCACGATGAGTCAGGCTCAGTGGCAACTAAATAAGTAATACAACAACAACCTCAGTCACATCCATAAAGCCTTTTTGCTATCTAAGGTAACATATTCACGGGGTCCAGGAATTATGACCTGGATGTTTTTGGGGAGACCATTATTCTGCCCACTGCATTACTCATTTGTGTCTGGCATCTTTTGCAAAACTTAATGTTCCTGAGATTCATCCATGATGTGTGTGTTAGTACTTTGTTCCTTTCTATTGCTGAGCAGTGTTCCATTGTAGGAATATACTATAGTTTGCGTGTCCATTCTCCTGTTGATGGACATTTGGGCTGTTTCTAGTTTTTGGCTGTTATGAATAAACATTCATTCTGTTATTGTTTTTCATTTATCTTGGGTAAATACGTAGAATTGCTAGATCATAGGGTAATTGTATCTTTGACTTTTCATGTTTATTGGCCATTCATATACGTTCTTTTGTGAGATTGTCTGTTCAAGTGTTTTGCCCATTTTTTTGTTTTTACTAGGTTATTTGCCTTTTTATTATTGGTTTGTACATGGTCTTTCTACATTCTAGAAACAAGTCCTTTGTCAGGGATATATATTGCAATATTTTCTTCCAGTCTGTGGCTTGTCTTTTCCTTTTCTTAATAGTGTCTTTAGGTGAACAAAAGTTTTTAATTTTGATGAAGTTTGATTTCTTAATATTTTTACAATTAATGCCTCTTTTATTCTATCTAAAATATTTTTCCATATATCAAGATCATGAGGCTATTCCCCTGTGGGTTTTTTTTTTTTTTTCTGAAAGATTTATAGTTTTAGCTTTTGCATTTAGGTTTATGATCTATCTCATATTAGCATATTAGTTCTCTTCTTTTTTTGTGGGATGTATAGTAGAGGTGGGAGCTCTGGTGGTGCAATGGTTAAACAGTTGGCTGTTAACCAAAAGGTCAGTTACTTGAACCCACCAGCAGCTCCATAGGAGAAAAGACCTGACAACACTTCCGTAAAGATTACAGCACTGGAAACTCTATGGGGCAGTTCTACTTTGTCCTATAGGGTTGCTATGAGTTGGAATTGACTCGATGGCACACAGCAACAACACAGTAGAGGCGACAGGAAATTTTTTTGCTGTACAGATATCCAGTTATTCTAGCACCATTTGTTGAAAAGACTTTTCTTATAAATTGTATGGGTACTTTGTTTTAAGAAATTAACCAAATATATGTGGCTCTATTTCTGGACTCTATTGTGTTCCACTGGTCGATTTATCAACCTTTTGCCAAAACCACACTGTTTTAACTATTGTAACTTAATAGTAAGTCATGTAATCAGGTAGTGTAAGCCCTCCAACTTTATTCTTCTTTAAGATTATCTTGGTCATTGGGTCAATTTTGGGCTTAGGTCACTGCAACACAACTCAAACTGGCTTAAGCAATAAGGAAATGACTATCTCTCAAACCTACAAGTCCAGGAGAGATTCTTGTTAAGGTATGAATCAGTCAGGGTTAGGTTCAAGTGTAAGGGTCAGAAACCCCTCACGCAGTGACTTATAGAAGACAGAATTTTCTTTTGTCTTTCTCTCATGTAGGTATTGGTACTTCAGGGTTGGTTGATATGGCGGCTCCATGATATCAGGGATTCTGGATTCTACTATCTTTTTGCTGCCATCCTCAGTAAGTGGCTTCCACCTCATAGTGAGATATTTAGCCTCATGCCTGCCTTTCATCCAACAGGAAGAAGCAAGGGCAAGGATACCTGCTGCCTTCCCTTAAAGATACTTTCCAGGGGTTTTGTAGGATACCTCTGCCTACATCCTATTGTCTAGTATTTAGTGAGGCCGGGGGATATAGTCTTTATTCCAAGAATGTATAAGATGAAGTATTTATTAATAAATACGAAGAAGAGATCTGATATTAAGAAACAACTGAATTTTCTCCCACCGAGTGTCTGCAGAGCAATACCAGGGAAAGGAGTCCTATAGGTGATGGATACAAGATACTCGAAGGAAAAAGTCAGACATGGAAATAAATATTTGGAAGCTATTAAATGTTGTTAAAATCTTGAGAGGAGATGAGCTGGCCCAGGGAGAGTGTAGAATGAGAAAAAACGGCCAAAGGCAGATCTGTGGGGAACCACAGAGTTTAATGATTAGTCAGAGAGAATTCAGCAGGGGCTGGAGAAGAAATGATGAAGTAGTTAGATGGATAATCAGAACAAGTTTTAAGGAGAGAGTGGCCAAAAATGTACAGAGGACAGAGATGCCAGTTAAGATAAAGAGTTAGTCTTTAAAAAGGAAAAAACTTGTAATTGTCCTGTTTCAAAATCATAAGCTACCTCATGTCATTTTCTGGAAGGAGACCTGTGTGACAGATAACCCAGAGTAAGCATGTTATGTTTAATGTACGTTCAGGGCTGGTGAGAGACACAGCCCCCCTCACGCCTCCCCAGTGAGGAACAAGGTCATACGTGAACAGCAAGCTACTGCGACAACTTGAATGAATCTCACGGACGTTAAGTTAAGCAAAAGAAGCCAGACGTAAAACGAAACACATAGTATAGTTTTAAGGAGTTCTAGAATAGGCAAAACTAATCCATGGTAACAGGACTCGGAATAAGGGTTACCTATGGGTAGTATAAGGAGTCCTGGCGGTGCAGTGGTTAAGTGCTCATCTGCTAATGGAAAGGTTCGCGGTTCGAACTCACTAATCACTCCGCAGGAGAAAGATGTGGCAGTCTGCTTCTGTAAAGATGTACAACCTTGGAAATCCTATGTCTACTCCATCCTATAGGGTTGTTATGAGTTGGAATCGACTTGACAGTAACGGGTATGGGATGGTATTAACAGGAAAGTGGGATAGGGACCCTTCTGGAGTGATGGTAATAGACTATATCTTAAATTGAATGATAGTTACATAGCTGTATGAATATGTAAATGTTGATCAAACTGTACACTCAAGACGTGTGTGCTTTATTGTATATAAGTTATACTTAAAAAACTGTCCAAAAATGATAAAATGTTAGTATATATGAATTCTGAGTGTTATTGCCTAATTCTCTATAAAACCAAACCAAATCAGCTTGAGTGATTCTTTAACTGAAAGTGGCCCTGAGTCATCACTGGAGAGCTAGGATGGGGTGTGCACCACCCTGGGAAAGCTGCGTTGGGAAGACAGCTCTGTGAGCTCTGGGCATACCTGTGGGGGCCACGAGCAAGCTGAGGAGAATGATGGAGGCAGAGAGAGAGAAAAAGAATTTAAAGGCGTGGGGTAGGGGGGTGAAGAGAGAAAATGAAAGATGCAGGCGCCTCGCCCCGTTGCTTCAACAGCCTGCTGCTCCGGTCTGCTGTTCTCCAACTCACACGTCGTCAAGGCGTCACACTGCGGAGGGGAGGGAGGCTGTGGTGAAGCCCAGAGTGGTACGAAAACCAAGCCAACCGGCCTTTCCATCACTACGCAACTCAAGAGACTTCATCTCTCGGCGCCTCGATTTCCTCACGCTCTGAGGCCAGTCTGCGGGTCACAGACCCTCGTGGCACTGTCCCATATAACTTTCTGCGACGATGGCTATTGAGTACTTGAAATGTGGCTAGTGTCACTGAAGGACTGGATTTTTAACTTTCAAATTTTATTCAAGTTTAATTGTTTTAAATGTAAATAACCACATGTGGTTAGGGCTAGGGCGTTCGTCTGGCTCAGCGGAGGGGAGTTATTCATGGCCACAGGGCAGCAGCGCCAGGCGGCTGGGCAGTGTGGACACTGCGACGCGCGAGTTCAACGCGCTGTGTCTACACAGCAATTTCTTCCACTTATAAACAGGAGTGGCAGGAACGCCCAGGATTCAGTTCAGGCCCTTGCGTTCGGGGTGGGAGCACTTAAGATTCCTAAACCTGTGGATTCCATAGAGTTCTCTCCCTCTACCTCTGTGCCCCACCCTCTCTACTCTGCGCTCCCACAAGCCTGTAAGTCTGGGGTAAATGGAGATGGGGGGACGCACGGGAGACACCGATGACAGTCCCTTCACGTCTCCGACGTCAGCCTTCCACGGCGCCGGCTGCTTTATTTCTCGCAGTAACTCCAGGAGGCTCAACAATTTCCGCGTCCATTTCACAGATGAAAAAACGAAGGCTCGCGGAGGTTAAGCGCGCACAGCGGTAAGCCGCGCAGCGGGAGCCGAACCGTAAACTCTTAGGCGCTCTGGTGGCCCCTAACTGCGGCCAGGACACTGCCGTGGGTCGGGTTGTCAGGGCAGGGCGGAGAAAGTGGAGAGTAAATATTTGGGGCTGTAACCTGGCTTTGGCGACTCTTTGTCACTGCATTTCCTCGGCAGGCGCGTGGCGGGGGCGGGGCCTCGGGACAGGGGCCTCCCCGACTCCTGCGGTCCCGCCCCCGCCCCCGCCCGCGGCGCCGCGTGTATAAGACCGCGGGGCCGGCGGGTGGCAGGCTGGTGAAGCAGCGGCGCCGGGATCCAGCTGCGCTCGGCGCGGGGACGCAGGACGCGGACGGAGCGGAGCGCGAGAGGAAGGGCGAGCGCCGAGCAGCCCAGCTTCAGCCCGAGCGGCCGCCGGCCCCGGTCGGCACCTTGCAGGACCGTCCGCCACGCGCGCCAGGCCGAGCCGCCCCATGAAGCCGCCCGCCGCGCAGGGCAGCCCCGCGGCCGCCGCGGCCGCAGGTGAGTGCGGGAGCCTGAGGGCTCCGAAAGCCCCGGCTTCACAGGTGAGGGGCGTCGTGCGACGAGAGAAGAGGGAGCCCGATTCGTCCCTTTACCCCCCCCATTCTCACCATCAGGACCCTGAATCCGGGCGGCCCCGCGCTGGCAAGTTCAGTCCCCCTCCAGCCCAACGAGACTAGGCTGGGGCCCTCACCCCGACACGTAACGGGCGCACCCTGACTCAGTCTGCCCACCGCCCCCGGTTCGCACGCGCCCCCAGGGGAGTTAGCGTGGGGACACGTACCCGAAGCGCGTGGAAAAGCGTTTGGCTGTGTTACCTGGGTGACCTTTGGGCGGCAACTTCACTAGGCTCAGCTTTCTTATCTGTAGAATGGGTATGATAATAGAACGCACTTCACGGAGTGGTTGAGATGAAAAAATAATAGGCAGCTGCGGCGTGGCTGTTTCTTGGCCAACGCATAATGAAAGTTAGTTGTCCTGAGGAATGGTGGCTGCCCTTTCGCTTCCCTTCACCTGAGCCTATCATCTCCGCCCCCAGCCCCGGCCTTGGACTCAGCGGCCGCCGCGGACCTGTCTGACGCGCTGTGCGAGTTTGACGCAGTGCTGGCTGACTTCGCGTCTCCCTTCCACGAGCGCCACTTTCACTACGAGGAGCACCTGGAGCGCATGAAGCGGCGCAGCAGCGCCAGCGTCAGCGACAGCAGCGGCTTCAGCGACTCCGAGAGTAAGTGCGGGCCCTGTGCAGATGGTGCTCGGATTCCCACCCCACTAAGGAGCCCTCGGGCCTCCGGCCTCAGTTTCCTTATCTGAAGACGGAGGGGTGGGGCCCAGCGGAGTAGGCTCTAAGGCTCAGCGCAGTATCCACGACTTGAATACCCAGGGTTGTAGTCCCAGCGCTGGCCGGGCCCTGAGGGTAGTCACGGGAAGGCTCTAGGAGGGTAAGTTGGTCTACCTGCCTCCTGCAGGTGTCAGGCCTGAGGGTTTAAGCAGCTTGTCCCCCTACAGCCAGACAGGACTCTTGGGGACCCAAGCCAGGCCATCCACAGTCTCCTTTTCTTTCCTCCTCTCCTCTCAGCTTTTCAGCAATAACTTATCAGGGGATGTGGAGTAAGTGCCACAGGAATTGGGGGGAGGAGGGGGAGGGAGCGGCGCCATGGAGGGCACAATACCCAGACATTTGTGAAACCAGAAAAGGTTTTGTAAACTGCTGTTCTTGGGATTTTTGAAATAGCTTCTTGCACTTTCTTCTGGCCCTGAGCTCTCAGACTTGCTGCCCCACTGCATGCAGTTTGGAAAGGATTCCTCGTGCTGTTAATTCAAGTATTTTAGAGGGTGCCCTTCTCCCCTCAGGGAGGCCCACCACCAGGACTACTGGCTTTAACCCCTACCCAGGCTGGAAGGGAGCCTGAGAGCAGATGGGTGGAGAGGGGAGTGGCCTGCTGGGGACCTTTCTCATAATTAAGACAAGCGCCAAGTCTCTGTCCTAAACAGCCTTGAAAGAAAAGAGACATAATTGTCCAGGAACTCAAATTTCCTGTAAGGATTATGGATATATACCTGTTAGGGTGTCAAACAGCAAAACTGGTGACTTTTCAATATCACGTGGTCGTTGCTTTTCAAGTCCTGGATTACTTATACTATTTTTTTAAAGAGCATGTTAAGCTCTTCTGGGTTATTCTTGAGACTTTAATCCCTAGATGGGTTCCAAGTATGAATGTCCCTCCTGTGCTGCCCTTGCCTCTGGAAGTATCCTTGGGTGGTGCAAATGGTCCAAGTGCTTGGTTGCTAATTGACAGGTTGGAAGTTCAGGTCCATCCAGAGGCAACTTGGAAGAAAGGCCTGGTGATCCACTTCCAAAAAATCAGCCATTGAAAACTCTATGGAGCACAGTTCTCTTCTGACCTGTGTGGGGTCCCTGTGGGTTGGAGTTTATTTGATGGCATCCGGTTAACTGGTTTCTTGCGATTCTCTCTTCTGAAATCTGGAGCTCTTTCTTGTTCCTAGACTTCTGAAAAGGGGTAAAGGGCACTTGCCACCCTACTCAGAGTCTGAGTCAGAAATTTGAGTATCTTTGGCAGCTCTGCCCAAGGATTAGACTGAATTGCAGCTTTTGAGGTGAAAGGGAATGGAATCATTGCTGTTCATTTTCTGTTTTGAATTTTGGGGCTTGGTTGTTAACAACCAGACCACTTATTAAATCCTTAACACTAATTTACTTTTTCAGTTTGCTTTCAAAGGGAAGTCTTACAGTTTTTAAAATTTGTCTCAGTATCTGCGGCCAAACTTAAAATGTTTCCTTCTACTGGGGCGTGGAACAAGTTATTCATAAAATACAGATTCTCTTCCACACAGGAAAGAAAGCCGGGGCAGTCTGTCCTGTGCTGCTCAGTTGCAAAGAACAAGCTTCTTTCTAAGCCACAGCCACCTTCAGCCAGAATGCAGCATGAGTTTGCGCATTCATGGGTGATGGCAACTTCATTTGGGTGGGAGTTCAGATCTGAGATCCTTTTTTCAGTGTCCTCAAAGAGAAGACACTAGAAACACATTCTTAACAGTTTGAGGGGAGATGTTTGCAATAGTTTTTTGTAGTTCTTCCCAGGGTATGTGCTTGTATTTTGCTTTCTGGTTTTGTTAACTGTTAACTTTAAACTACATCTTGGTTTGGTGGTTACAGAAGTAATAGGGAGAGGGCTGGTCAAGGTATAAAGAAGGCTCAGGTGACATGGAAAACCAAACCAGCTGCCATAGACTTGACTCCAACTCATGGCATCCCCATGTATGTCAGAGTAGAACTGTGCTCCATCGGGTTTTCAGAAGTGGATTACCAGGCCTTTCTTCTGAGGCGCCTCTGGGTGGACTCAAACCTCTACCCAGTTAGTTAGTAGCAGAGCATGTTAGTTGTTTGCACCACCCAGGGACTCCGAGATGACATTACTCTTTGCTATAAATGTGTTGTTTGCCCCCCACAAGGCTAGTTAGAAATAGTCTTTGCAAGAGCTGTATCTAAATAGTAATTTCTTAAGTAAGCATAATGTGTACCTTAATTGCTGCCAAGAATTAAGCACAGACATTTGTTATACTCATTTGTCTGTTTAATGCTATTCTGTGGAAGGCAGGTAGATACCATTGAATTTAGCTCCCCAAAAGGAAGACACACCAGGATAATGATAATTCAGCAGCTCACTTTTACCAAGCCCCTACCATTATCGCTATTATTATTATTAGCTCTTGCTATTGCTGATCTCTTTGTTATGCTTTGAATGTGTTGTATGATCTCTACAATAACCCAGGAGGTAGGCACTGTTAGCTCCATTTTTCTGATAAGGTAGTGCAACCTCACAGGCCCCCTCTCTAAGACCTTGCTCCATCACCAGAAGTTGACGGCTGGGACAGGAACCAGGTCCTCAGAAATAGACTGAAGTCCCATTAGACCCAGACCATGTGTCTGTTTACCAGTGGTGGTTGTGTTTGGATGGTGTCTCCTCAGGGTGGAGGTGGTCATCTGGCAGGGTCAGTGAAGGCTGTTTCCTGGGGGCCAGCATGATGGCTTGTATCCCCGTGGCTAGTCTGGGCTAGGAGCCACTGAGAATAGAACCCGAACTTGTTCAAGCCGTGGGAGACTGAGGCCAGTTAGGAGCCCTGAGGATGCTCTGGAATTCCAAGTGGGTGACAAGTCTCGCTCTAATAGATGCCTGGCAAGGCATCCGGAGGGACTGAGCAGTCCCAGAAGGACAGCTGGGGCAGCCGTGGTGAAACAGAAGTGGGAATCTCTTATTCTATCCCACTTTGAGTGGGGCTGTCAGCAGTTATATTTTGAGGAAGAGAGCCCCCCTCCCCAATTCCTTGTGGCAAGAGGGAAACAGCCCCAAGGCTTTCTTTTTCTCAGTTAATTACTATAGTTTGCTTGCCTTGGATGTGTGGGGTTCTATATTTACAGGAGCTCTGGGCAAGGTTTACTGTCTGTGGTTTTTCTTCCCACTGGAGTAGCCCGTGTCAGTACTAACCCTACATTACCTTTCTCCCCACCCCCTAAACTAAAATAGCACACCTACTTTTTAAACAAGCTGCTGTTTTTGCAGCTGAGTTTCTCAAGCTCTGCTGATGCTCCACAAGCTAGATGAATGTATATTTAATATGCTTACGTTTCTTCTGATGGTATCTTAGATAACTTGGTCTCTGAGTTCGAGGTTTCTGTCCTGGTACACTAATTTGACTTTAACAAAGACGTTTCTAATGAGGCTTTGAGATGCTTGTGAGGTGAGGCTTCAGAGCTGATTGAAGGAGATGTTGTAAGGCCCTAAAATATCCAGCCTTATCACCTGCCAAGGTTTCCCAAATCATCACGTTTATGAATCCTGTAAGCCCCTCTCAATAGCAGGACCCAATACCCGAGGAGGGCAATACGTTAGTATGCTATCGGCCAGTGTCACCTTGTCATCTTATCAGACTCACTGGCTGTTATTTTGCAAGGAACAGAGTTCAGGGGAGTAAAAAGAACAGGAAGTCAGGTTTGGGGAGCTTTTAATCTACCAGTACCTAGCATGACATCTTGTTTATTGTAAGTGCTTCATATAAGTCTGTGGAATGAAATTTTATCAGGTAAAGGGTAAAGAGGTGTAGCGCTTGGGGCACTTCTGAGGTCTATGTTGGTGGCTTGTTCTTGGGAGGTTCTGCTGATAAACTTCTCTTAAAGAATTTGCCTCTATCTGAAGTAGAGAAGAAAGCCAGGACCCAGAATCTTGCTTCTTTTTGTTCTCTGTGATGGCACATCCTCTCCTGGGCGTTCAGTTCTCCATTTTGCTAGGAGTTTTACAATAAAATAATTAAAATCATAGGTACCAGACACCGGCACCTGAGCTATTATTATCCTTTTGCCAAAGAAGAAACTGAGGCTCAGAGGTGAATGGCGTGCACAGGGTCACCGAGCTTTCACGTGGCCTCTTATGATACGTATCCTTGCTACAGTGGCGGCTTCTGCTGGGCCCAGGTCGCTTTGGGGCTCTTCAGGTGGCTGTCTTTAACTTTGTCGTTAGCAAGAATGGCATGTGTAGAACATTGCCAAAGGGCGGAATTGAACTGTGGGCAGCTTTGGCTCAAGGACTGGGGATGTCCTCTTGGGGTTGGAAATTTTGGAGCCTGCAGTCGATTTGGCCCAGATTGTGTGCTGGACCCCATGGAAAAAAGGGGTCAAGGTGTGGCAACAAGCCAGTGTGTGAATGTGGGTGTGTGTGGTTGGGGTCGGGGAGTGAACATATGCCATGTTAACCTTCCTCTGTGTGCATGTGTGTGTTTATATATAGATGTTGTAACTAGTATTTTTTTCCTCTTCCTCCCTCTCGTTGTGGGAGTAGCCTGAGTTCATTAGCAGAGGAGGCAACTTCTGATCATTTAATAGTTTGCAACTGAATTTACCATTTTATCTATACATTTTCTGAGTTTGAGGCAAGTGCTTGGATCAGAAAGGTATTTAGCATACAGACCAGGCTCTAACAAGGAAGAGTAAGCCGTGTCAATGTCCTGGTACTATGGCTCATTCTCTACAGTGTGTCCCCAAACCACCTGAGTTCCCTTGAGGTTTTCCTGAAAAAGTGTAATAGCTTTTGGTCCACTTGACCCTGAGGAAAACCAATTGTGACTTTTTTTTTTGGTTTGTCTCCCGAAGGATGAGTAGATGTAGACATAAAACCTCTGGGGAGTGCAGGCAGGATAGAGATGAACCAAAGTCATGGGAGGAACCTGTGGTGCAGGGTGGGGTGGGCTTGAAGTGAGGTGTGGTGTGATACCGGCTTTTAAGGACAGGCTGCTTCTGGCAGATAGAGACCTGAGGCGTGGTCACTGTGATCCGTGCCAAGTCTCTGGGCCTGGCACCCTGTGTACCAGGGATGGGGGTGATGCCCTTGGGTGTCCTTCAGAGCCAAGGATAATATTACAAGGGTCTTGTATTCCTTCCTTCTGAGCACAGGGCCTGCCTCTCTAGTACCCCATGTGACTTTCCTGCCCCTGAGTCTGACATCATCTTATCCCAACACGTTTCCCAGGTTAGAGTAATGGCACTTGTGGCTAGTGCATGGTGACAGTCATGCTCCACTGTAGGTCTGCAGTGGACATGACCACTTCCTGTATGCTGGGAAAGGCTGTCCCCTGAGAAAATCCAGCCTGCTCTAGAGGTGGGCTCAGCTGTTAAACCAACCAGAAGGGTTTCCCAAATTGAGTGCCACAGAGTACAAGTGTCCTGAGAAATATTAGCAGGGTGCCACACCAAAAAAAAAAAAAAGTATCCCATGGTTAAGTAAACTTGGGACATAGGGCTAAACTGGCTTCTTTATTGTCAGACCTCAGGGACATTAAAGTGAGAATACACAATGGGAATCTCCAAGAGGGAATATAGCGGGAAAACCATGACAAAGACTCCCTTGTGCAGGCAGGGAGGATTAGGTCATGGAATCCAGCTTGGTACTTGCATTTGGGAGAGTTCAGAAGGCAAAGGGAAATTTTTCATGAAAGGTGATCCCAAACCAACCCCAATCAGCCAAGCATTAGTTTAGCTGCTCTCTGGGCTCCTTCGTGTTGGCAGAGGAGGCTGGTCTGGCCACGATGATCCTAGCATGCCCTGCTGGTTTTAGGGAACCAAAGGCCTTTGGTGTTTCTCAAGTTTAGTTACTCACAGAGGTCTTTTCAAAGGATGAGTGTTTGGAGTTTTGGCTCAGAGTTTTGGATCTCAGTAGGTTTTCATCATCAAATGAAAAATGATCGTAGACTTGTGTCCTTTTAGGTGACCTGGGCTGGACCTCTGAAGGAAGAGAGGATTGTGAGGGTTGGCCAGCAAGGAAGGGTCTTCTGGGCATGTTTGGAAAGTGGAGGAGATGGGCCAGTAGGAAGGGAAGACCAGATGGCAGCTGAGGAGGCCACCTGGTCAGGAGAAGGTGGGGGGAAAGAACGCCAGGTGAGGTATCTGAGAACTTGTAGCAGCCTGGTAGGGCTGAAGCTGCATTCTCTTGGGACCAGAAACTTCTGCTTCTCAAGAAACCCTAGTATTTTTTAAATTGTGCCTATCTTTTGTAATTTAGTCAAGTTCATTTTGGGTTAAGAGGACCAAAGAAGACTTTTTTTGCCTCCGCCTGAGCTGGAGGTAATTGAATTATAGTGAGAGAACCCCAAAAAGGAGTGGGGGCTGGGTTAGGCCCACATTATGCAGCTGTCCTTTCTCACCTGAAGAGCCTTTCCGGCACTCATCTCTGTGTAGCTTGGCTGGCATTGTGTTTTGTCTTCACCAGGAAGGCTGTTCCTCAGCACCTCAGTAGCCACATCCTGCTTCTGCTGCCTGCTCTGCCTTTGAGCCCTCTGAGTCGGTGCGCTCAGGCAGCTGCTCTTTTCTGTGTCACAGATGCACAGCTGGTGGGTGGGCCCCACGCCTGTGACAGGCCTTAGAGAAATAGAATCCCAGAACTTCAGAGCTGGGAGGGACTTTAAAGGTTATTTAAGCTGATGAAGCCACTGATTGACTTGCTCAATGGCACCCGAGTACCCAGTAGCTGACTGGTTCTCTTAACTCTCAACCCTGTCCTGCTTCTGGAAACTTCCCTTGCTATTGCTCTGGTCTTCAGCGGTGTGAAAATGGGGGGAGCCACAAAACCACTTCAAGTGTCTATAATACACTGAACCCCCAGGATAAGAAATACTAATCTTTGGCCCTCTGGCTCTCCTGAGGCTATAGGCTTAGGGTTCAGTGTGTTGGAAAAACCATGACAAAGATTCCCTTGAGCAGGCAGGGAGGATTAAGTCATGGGATCCAACTTCGTATTTATATTTTGGGGAGTTCAGAGGGCAGAAGGGACACTTTTCATGAAAGATGAGTCCTTACATCTAAGATTCCAAACCAATCCCAATCAGCCAAGCATTAGTTTACCTGCTCTGTGGGCTCCCGTGTGTTGGCAGAGGAGGCTGGTCTGGTCACGATGATCCTAGCAGGCCCTGCTGGTTTTAGGGACCAGGGGCCTTTAGTGTGCCTGGTTGGAGATCCACACACTGACACACATGCACGCATACATACACACACAACACATGCACGCATACATACACACACACACACACACACACACACACACACACACACACACACACACTCACTCCCCTGCCTCAAATCATTTTGGGGCATAAATATAAAATCTGGTAATCAACCTGTTTCCTTTGCTATAGATTTACAATGTTTGCTTCTTTTGGAGATGAACTGTTGTTTATCAATAGACTGTAGACTGAAAACCGTTTCTAATGAGTACGTTTTCTTTCCCGAAAGGTGCAGATTCACTCTATAGGAACAGCTTCAGCTTCAGTGATGAGAAACTGAATTCTCCCACAGACTCTGCCCCAGCCCTGCTCTCTCCCCCTGTCGCTCCCCAGAAAGGTGAGTTCACTAGTGCAGTGTAGGCTCTTTGGCTTTTTGATTCCCCTTGCCTTCTCAATCCCTTCTCTCTTCTCCCTTATCCCGAACCAATCTTTCCCAAATGTGTAAAACAAATAGATAAGACTAGTATTTTAGTACCAGGAGTTCCTGGGTGATGCTAAATGCTTAACCCACTCGGTTACTAACCGGAAAGTTGACAGTTCGAGTCCACCCAGAGGCTCCTCTGATGAAAGGCCTGACGATCTACTTCGGAAAAATCAGTCTTGAAAACCCTATGGAACACAATTCTACCCTGACACACACAGGGTCGCCATGAGTTGGAATAGACTCGACAGCAACTGGAATATCTTAGTATAGTGTAGGATAAAGCGGAATCTGTTATTTCTCAGGATTTTGATCCATGTGGCATTAAATCAGCTAACTCAGGGCAGAAAACTCTACTTCACAGAGAGAAAGAAAACCGGTTGACTCTAGACTTGGTTCTGTCCCGTGTGGCGTAATCAAGACCATGTGTCATAGGGTAGTGCTTCTTGTGTGTCTCTTCCCAGGCTGGTTGGTTCTAGAATTTAATACCCAGCAGTTAGACTTTGTAGAAGGGTAGGATTCCCTTTATTGCATTAACCGTTTAATCCATGTTTTCATATCACCAACTTAGCAATTAAATGGGATCTTTCTTATTAGACAAGAAATGATTTAACATGATTCAAAATAGCCTGTCTCCACTGTGGTATTTATAGACGTAAAATTTTTTAAAGACGCATGAGAAGTTGCTTATTCTTTGGAACTAGTAGAGTGTCTCCAGCTAGAGAGCTGAATGTTCTATTACATTGGACAAGTGCCCTTTTGAAAACAAAAGGATTTTTTTTTCTTAAGAAAAGTTACACTTGCTGAAGATAAGAGCAGAATGCAATAAAAATGGAGCATAGTTTAAAAAAAAAAAAAGACGACTCCATCAACTTTTCTTCCTCTGGCATTCAGGCAGAATGTCCCTCTTTTTCAAAAGAGACATTTTCACATTCTGTCCTCAGCACAGCAGCGTTAGCAGCCACCGGGGACTCTGCCACTATCCAGTCCTCAGTCCATAATGGGTCTGTTGAATTCAGAGAGACAGGGCAGTCGAGAAAGCAGCTTAAAACGTGTCCAGATTTGCTACCTGATCCTCAAGAGGTAGAAATTAAAGAAGGTAAGAAAAGCCCTAGTGGCAAATTGACTTTAAAAGCTAAGAACAATGAGCCACTTGTAGCGAGCAGGGGTAAATTAATAAAAACAGCCAGTAATGCATTTCAGAAGGAGCACTGGTGATGAAGTGGTTAAAGCACTCAGCTGGTAACCGAAAGGTTGGCGGCTCAAACCCACCAGCCACTCTGCAGGAGAAAGATGTGGCAGTCTGCTTCCTTAAAGATTACAGCCTTGGAAACCCTATGGGGGCAGTACTACTCTGTCCTATAGGGTTGCTGTGAGTCAGAACTGACTTGCCAGCAATGGGCGAATGCATTTCAGAGAACGCACAAATGATGGAGTGTACAGAAAAAGTATATATCTCAGTATATGAAGAGAATAAAATCAGAATAAGGACATGTTACCGTGTGCTGGCACCTGGATAGGGTAAGGCTGTCCTGGGCGCAGAAGCCTCATGTTATACCCGGAGAGGGATTCGCCTTCCCTGGACCATTTGCCAAGGAACAGTGGCTCTTCACCCAGTTCATACTGGAGGGATTGTGAGGGCGGTGGCGTTACCCTGGAGAGATTGCACAAGACAAGGATGCGTCAGAAAGGAAGTGTGACAACGATTACAGAATCTGGGTGTCCGTTCCGCACAGTGCCATCCATGCTTACGGAATAACGAAAATCCTACACAGTCAAAAAAGCAAACTCTTTATCTCCCCTCACTTCCCCTCCTCCCCAACTTTGAAGGCAGTGAGGGGAGATTCTTCTTGCAGTTGATGGGGGTGGGGTAGGATTGAACCAAAAACCAAGAAAGAAACGTTCAGGCTAGTCTTCAGGTTTCTGAGTTTACTGTAACTAAATATTGGCAGATTGGTGGATCAGTGGTAGAATTCTTGCCTCCCATGCCGGAAACCTGGGTTTGATTCCTGGCCAATGCACCTCATGCACAGCCACCACCTATCTGTCAGTGGAGGCTTGTGTGTTACTGTGATGCTGAACAGGTTTCAGAGGAGCTTCCAGACTAAGAAGACTAGGAAGAAAGGCCTGGCAATCTATTGGAAAAAATCAGCCAATGAAAACCCTACAACGATCCAATCCGCAATTGATCATGAGGGTGGCACAGGACCAGGCAGCATTTTGTTCTGTTGTGCGTGGGACTGTTATGAGTTGGGGGCTGACTTGACAGCAGCTAATAACAATATTGAATTTTGGAGCAGACCCTTAGGGTTGGTACAGGACACCCTTCGTAGAGTCTCCGAAGATAGAAAGATGCAAAACGGGTTTGCACAATCCTGAAAAATGCAGTATGTGTCTGCAGAGGGGCACTTCGGCCTCGGGAATCATTAGCTGTCTTTGATATGGGAAACTGAACTCCTTCTCTTGTTTTACAGCCAAACTAGGAGACACAAAAGAATTAGAAGACTTTATTGCTCATCTTGACAGAACATTGGCAAGTGAGTACATGCCTGGTATTAAAAAATTAAACAAAACTAACTGACAGCTCTGATAAAATGCTATAATGTTTACAAGTTTGCCTGGGGCAGGACGTTCCATCATAAGGCTTCTTTGGTTCAGAAACACTACCCTAGTGGCTCAAAGAAATTCTGAAGATAAGTTTTCATTAAAGTAGCCCATGTGCCTTTCCAAACAGTGAGAACAGGCTACCAGCAAACAATGGTGTTTTGTTTGAGAAATGGAGAGAAAAGTAGTAGTGAGAGCGAGACTGGGGCTTTACCATTATGATGGCCTACAAGGCTTTTCAGAGAAGAAATCAGCTGATTGACCACACAAACGTTACCCTAACACACCAGAGGATTCCATCCCATGGACTAGGGTAGTTTTCCCAGGTTATATCAGGGGCTGTGTCCTAGAAAGAGCCCTGGTGACACAGTGGTTAAGTGTTCAGCTGCCAACCAAAAGGTCGGCCGTTCAAATCTACCAGCCGCTCTTTGGAAACCCTATGGGGCAGTTCTACTCTGTCCTGTAGGGTCACCATTAGTTGGAATCGACTCAGCAGCAACGGGGTTGGTTTTTTTGTGTGTGTGTTCTAGAAAGATGGGTCCCAAAATAAGGAGTTGACTAGGGGAAACCCTTTAACCAACGACTTACACAGTTACTAAATGACCTGGATTAAGTACTCAATACCTTGTTTCCCATTTGGGAGTTACAGCAAAGTTGCCCCATGTTGTGTGACCAAAAACATTACCTGGGAAACTGAAGACATCAGATCATAACGGCAGTAGGGGAATGTAGTCTAGTTTAGAAGAAGGAACCTTGAGAATCCATCTACAGATCCCATTTTGTAGGACAAGGACAAGATTGCAAGAGCCAGAAGCACCAACTCCAACTTCCAGAATGGAAGTTCCCACAGCTGTACTAATTGTGTGTGTGCAGTGTGGGTGGGGGTGGGGTGGGGGTGGCAGTGATGGTGAGGGGGGAAAGGAGCCTCGTTCACTCACAGAGTGGGCCTGGAGAATTTTGTCCCAACCCTTAATTTTTCAGTGGAACTGTTGGTTTTCTCTAGAAGTGTTTTATGCTATGCTATGGTCTGCTATATAGCTGGGCAAAATCTAAAAAAACTAGATCTGGTCGTTTAAAAATAACTCTGTAAAAAATAAATAAATGAATAGATACCAGTAACCCTGTTCTTAACACTGTTTCAGGCAGATCCAAATATGAGGTAGAAAGCCCATCTCTGTTTTCTTGCAGATTTTATTGCCTGTTTTCTTACATGCCGCACCATCCCTACATCAGAAGACGAAGGCTTGTTTTGACAGTTTGTTGTAGCACAGTTTGTGCTAGGCCCACGTAACGAGCTTGCCTACTTCATGGAAATTGCAGATGGCTGCCCAGTCATGCCAGTTGATCAGACATCCATTATGTGGGAAGCCTGCCATTAAATTTGGTGCTTTGATGCACATCTGAGATGATGTGATCTGGTTAAGCATAGGATTTGTAATCTTTTGTGAATGGATAATCTTCCTTATCCTTCATTTACAGGTATGTGAAACAAGGAAAAGTTTTGGGTCCTTTTTCTTATAAGGGAGAAGCTTCAGAAAGCTCTAAGGACCTGGTCAAATCAGCTATGAGGATCTGCCTCCAGAAGGGACAGAGATGAGGCTCACTTTCCTACCACCAGCCGTCTCAGACCCACCTGCCCTTGGGCTCATCTCTGGGCAATTTAGACAGTGAAACTGACTTTGTTTACCCGCTTGCAGCGTTTTTGAAGACATGACCCATGCTAATATCGTATTTTCTCTTAAAATATGGCTTTCCTGTAATTTAAAGTGCTTTTATGAAAATATTTGTAATTAATTATATATAGTTGGAAACAGTAATAAGCTTCTCTCATTATAATATATTTTTGTATACAAATAAAATTTGAACTGGAGTCCAGGTTTTTGTAAGCTTCATTTTTTTTCTTTCTCTTTCAATATACACATTTACATTCAAATAATATTCTAATGGAAGTAACATACCTTTTGGCTCCTAGCAAGGACTCTGTGTGCTGCCTAATTGCACTAGATAACAAGGGAGCGTTCATGGTTTAGTGGTAGAATTCTCACTTTCCATACAGGAGACCCAGGTTCGATTCCCAGCCAATGTGCCTTGTGTGCAGCCATCACCTGTCAATGGAGGCTCATGTGTTGCTATGATACTGAACAGGTTTCAGTGGAGCTTAAGATGGACTAGGAAGAAAGGCCTGGCAATCTACTTTAGAAAACCAGCCAGTGAAAACCCTATGGATCACAACAGTCCAATCCACAACGGATCATGGGGATGGTACAGGACCCCATTGTATATTGGGTCACCATGAGTCAAGGCTGACTTGATGGCAGACAACAACAAACTTAACAAAGCATTACTTTGAAGCTCTTTTGGTGCTTCAGGAAAATGCTGGTATATGGTTAATGGGACATATGAATTTGAGATTACGATTTTGGTGGAAGTTAGGTTTCTTTTCTATCTCCGTCCTCCTATTTATATCTTGGTACCTTTTCAGGTGCCATGAACTCTTCCCTTGAATTAAGGGAAATAGCAGTTGCTCTCAAAATCTGGGACTTAAAATGTGAGGGAAAGTTGGGGCAGCTGGAGGACTTAAAAATGCTGCTGCTTCAACTGGACTAAACCAAAGCTAAGAACTTTCCTGAATACAATCAAACACTTTGAGGGACAGAGTAGCAGGGGTAGGGGTCTGGGGACCATGCTTTCAGGGGACATCTAGGTCAATTGACATAACAAAGCTTATTAAGAAAATGTTCTGCCTCCTACTCTGGTGAGTGGCATCTGGGGTATTAAAAGCCTGCAAGCAGCCATCTAAGATGCATCAATTGGTCCCAACCACCTGGAGTAAAGGAGAATGAAGAACACCAAAGACACAAGGAAAGTAGTAGCCCAAGAGACAGAACGGGCCACATAAACCAGAGACTGCATCAGCCTGAGACCAGAAGAACTACATGGTGCCCGCCTACCACCAATAACCGCCCTGACAGGGAACACAACAGAGAGTCCCTGACGGAGCAGGAGAAAGTTGGGGTGCAGAACTCAAATTCTAGTAAAAAGACTAAACTCAGTGGTCTGACTGAGACTGGAGGAACCCTGGAGAGCATGGCCCCTGCATTCTCTATCAGCCAAGAACTAAAACAATTTCCAAGACCAACTCTTAAGACAGAGATTGGACTGGATTGTGGGACATAAAGTGATACTCGTGAGGAGTGTGCCTCTTAGCTCAAGTAGATACAAGAGACTAATCGGGCAGCTTCTGTCCAGAGGTGAGATGGGAAGGCAGAGAGGGTGAGGAACTGGTTGAACGGACATGGGGAATCAGGGGTGGAAAGGAGGAGTGTGCTATCACAGTATGGGGAGAGCAATTAGAGTCACATAACAATGTATGTATAAATTTTTGTATAGGAAAAAAAATGCTGGTGCTTTATAAGATCTGTGAGCAAAGGAAAGTCTGACCGTGCTGACTTTGATGCTAATGCAGTCAGTGGAGCCAGAGGGTGGTGGCTTTGCACAGAGAAACCAGTATGCTACGCCCCCACCTGCCTTTTTTGGGGAATAGAGAGGTGCGAAGAAGCCCCTGGGTAGCGCAAACAGTTAAGTGCTCACCTACTAGCCGAAAGGTTATTGGTTCAAATCCACCCAGAGGTGCCTCGGAAGACAGGCCTGGTGATCTGCTTCTGAAAGGTCACAACCTTGGAAACCCTGTGTAGCAGTTCTACGCTGCACACGTGGGGTCACCGTGAGTCGGAATAGACTGTATGGCAACTCACAACAGCAACAGGGTGCCTGACGGCAGGAAAGTTCATAATTTTCCTATCTATGCTTTTCTATTTTGAAAAACCCCTTTAAAATAACCATGTATTATTTTCATAACCAGAAAAACTTACCTAAAAATGACATTCCTTACATTCCTAAAGGACATAAATGCAAAAAATAAATACATGATAATTTTATTTGTATTGTCAAAAGCTGATTTACTATGTTTGACCTGGGTTTTAGGGTTTAAGGGAACTAAATTGGCTTTTCTTTACTTTTTTTCTTCTAAGTTTCTGGTTGAACCCAAATATTTTTTCTTTTTCTTTTTTTATTGAGGTGTAATTCATACACCATACAATTTACCCTTTTAAAATATTTTTTGTGGTTTTAGTATATTCACAGAGTTGTACAACCATCACCGCTACTAATTCCAGAACATTTCCATCACCCCAAAAAGAAACCCTGTAACAGTTAGCAGTCACTCCCCGTTCCTCCCTCCCCTCGGTCTCTGACGACCGCTAATCTACTTTGTGTTTCTATGGATTTACCTGTTCTGGGAGTTACACATTAATGGAATTATACAACGTGTGGTCTTTTGTGACTGGCTTCATACACTTACCCTAATGTTTCCTAGGTTCTTCAGGTTGTTGTAGCATGAATCAGTAATTCATTCTTTTTATGACTTGATAATATTCCATTGCATACATACACTACATTTTGTTTATCCCATTCATCGGTTGGTGGACTTTTAGTTGTTCCCATTTTTTGGCTATTATGATTAATGCTGCTATGAACATTCATGTACAGGTTTTTGTGTGGATATGTTTTCAGTTCTCTTGGGAATTAGGAGTGGAGTTGCTGGTTTATATGGTAACTCTATGTTTAACTTTTTGAGGAACTGCCAAACTGTTTCCAAAGCAGCTGCGCCATTTTAAATTTCCACCAACAATGTATGAGAGTTCGATCCGTCCACATCTTTACCCAACACCTGTTACTGTCTGTCTTTTTGATCTTAGCTATCCTTGTGGGTTTGAAGTGATAGCTTTTTGTGGTTTTGACTTGCATTTCCCTAGTGACTAATGATGTTGAGCATCTTCTCCTGTGCTTATTGGCCATTTGTACGTCTTCTTTGGAGAAATGTCTATTCAATTCTTTGCACATTTTTAACTGGGTTATTTATATTTTTATTTTGAGTTGTAATAGTTCTTTATATATTCTGGATACTACATTCTTATCAGATATATTGATTTGCAAATATTTTCTCCCATTCGTAGGTTGTCTTTCCATTTTTTTGGTAGTGTCTTTGGAGCACAAAGTTTCAAATTTTGATAAAGTTCAATTTATCTATTTTGTTGCTTGTGCTTTTGGTGTTGTATCTAAGAAACCATTGTTTGATCCAAGGCACCTAGATTTACAGGTGCACCAGGATCAACCAAGATTTACACCTAAGTTTTCTTTTAAGAGTTTTATAATTTTAGCTCTTACATTTAGGTCTTTAATCTATTTTGAGTTAATTTTTGTATCTGAGGTAGGGGCCCAACTTCATTCTTTTTACTGGAATGCTTATGCAGTTATTCCAGCACCAGCTGTTGAAAAAACTGTTTTTTCCGCCATTGAATTGTCTTGGCACCCTTGTCAAAAATCAATTGCCCACAAATACAGACATTTATTTTTGGACTCTCAATTTCCTTCTACTGATCTACATGTCTACCTTGTGTGACTACCTCAGTCTTGGTCACTATAGCTTTGTAGTAAGTTTTGGAAGCAGGGAGTGGGAGTCCTTTTACTTTGTTCTTTTTCAAGCTTGTTTTGACTATTCTGCATCCCTTGCATTTCCATATGAATTTTAGGATCAGCTTGCAAATTTCTGCAAAAAGGCAGCTGGGATTTTGATAGGCATTGTGCTCCATCTATAGATCAATTTGGGGAGTATTGCCATTTTAACAACATTAAGTCTTCCTTCCAGTCCATGAACATCAGATGTCTTTCCATATATTTAGGTTGCCTTTAATTTCTTTCAATGAAGTTCTATAGTTTTCAGTGTACTAATCTTTCACTTACTTTGGTAAATTTGTTCCTAAGTATTTTATTTTTATCGATGCAGTTTTAAGTGAGTCGGAATCCACTCGACAGCAATGGGTGTGTGTGTGTGTGTGTGTGTATTTTAAGTGAAATGGTTCTCTTAATTTCATTTTTGAATTCATTGCTAGTATACAGAAATACAATTGATTTCTATATATTGATCTTGTATCCTGCAAGTTTTATTAGCTCATTTTTAGCTTGAGGCTTATTTCTTTCAATAGCATGACTAGAAGAGACACCACTAATCACTTCTGCTCATATCCCCTTGTTCAGATCTTAGATAGCCATTCCCAGCTGGGAAAAAAAGGTCTCTAGGTGGTCATATATGTGCTCAGGTAAAATTTGAGAGTTCTATTATTAAAGAAGGAGCCCTGGTGGCACAGTGGTTAAGAGCTCAGCTGCTAACCAAAAAGGTTGGCGGTTCAAATCCACCACCCGCTCCTTGGAAATGCTATGGAGCAGTCCTACTCTGTCCTATAGGGTTGCTATGAGTCGGAATTGACTCGACAGCAGTGGGTTTACTATTAAAGAAAGACAAAGGAAACGAGCATTGGAGGATAACCAGCCATCTCTGTTGTAGCATGATGAAGGCTTTGAGAAATACTGCAGCCAAGAAACCTGGTCCCCTCCTTCCCTTTATTTTGGTAGAAAACCTTCCAGCAATCCACATCATATGAGCGTTTCTTGGAACAGGCTTTGGGAAATGCCACCGTAGGGCATCTCACTCCAGTGGGATCTCCTGCACTTTACCTCCTCCAAGACCTGAAAGCCAAGAGGGAGGCCTTTGCAAATAGCTCGAGTGTTATCTGGAGAGTGTCAGCCAGTGGCTTTTCTGGAATGCAGCAAGATTGGAAGCTGTGCATGCAAATTTGGTAGGCTATGAATAGTATGTTTTTGAATTTGGGAATTCCCAGTTCTAACTTTTTGTAGAAACAGCTGAAGCTAAACAAAACAAAAAACACGATAAACACCCAAAAGTTAGTGCCAGCCCAAATGTTTATACACCACCAGCCTACAGGGTGGGGCAGAGGAGCCAATGGACACCTCTTTCCAGAGAATTATGACAGGTGGGCAGAGTGCAACACTCTATGCTTGTCCCCAGGTGCAAGAAGGCATGTCTGAGCTAAGGTGCAGTGGGTAATGATGTCTATTGACAATCAGCAGAGGCTGGGGACTCTGGGGAGGCTTCTCCACAGAAATATCCCTCTGGGTATGGGCTGGAGGAAAAAGGGAGAAAGAATGGACTTTCAAGGTAGACCAGGTTTAAATCCCAGCTCTGCCACTTAGTAGCTGGGTGATGCTGGACAGGTT